CTCCTGCATTTATGGCTCCTGAAGCGCTGACAGGTAAGCAAAAGTGGTAGTCGTATATTATTTCCAATGAAAATATTAGGGGCTCAATTCAGAGGGTTCCAACCATTTTTACTCCGGTAGAGCTCAAGATATCTGGTCGTTAGGAATAACTCTTTATGCATTTGTGATAGGGAAGGTGAGTTTTCGAATTATTCATCTGTGCCAGTTTTTCGCTCTGTTATTGGCTTCGTAAATTCTTGTCATTTTCTATTCGAGAAAAAATTGCAACTATGTCTTGTTTTTACCATTTTTCAGAAATCTCTTCGCAAGTGTTCTCTTTCGCATAGTGTCCTAATTTTTCTTTATTTCTTATCCTTCAAAAATTTCATCGTAGGAGCGCAGTTGGTAGTTGGCTCACTATTTTGCAAACTTCATTGTATTACCTTGCTTTAGAATTTTTCGGACTGTTCAATCTCAGCTACCCATAAAAAATTTCCAAAAAATCTTCAGCACGTGTTGCTGATTTTTATAGATTTTGTGGAAATATTAGTAGTGCAAATAACTATAATGTCCATTTTGTGGAATATTAGTAGTGCAAATAACACTACAATGTCCAAATTTTTTCGTCAATGAAGCTTGAGGTTGAAATAGTGCAGTCTTCAATATAAAGTTCTTAATAAGCATCTGTTATGGACGAAACACATAATCTTTCTGTATTCTTCTATTTTTCTAATCCTATGTTTGGTACCATTTCCAATCCATGGTTTTATTGCACTTGTTTTCCATAGTAACGATCCCTTTTCAAATGTGCTTCAAAAATAATTTTCAGGTGCCTTTTTGGGATGCATATGTGATCGCGTTGCATCGGAAAATCAAAAACGATCCGATAGTGTTCCCAAACGAGTGAGTTTTGCTTCTTCTATCTTTGCTATCTTCGCTTATTATTGTATCTATGAGCTGATTATAAACAGCTGATTTGAGGGACTGTGATAGGTTTTTACAACCTTTTCCCAGGCCGCATTTGAGTGATCCGCTGAAAGACTTGATCCTTGGAATGTTGAAGAAAGATCCAGGACATCGAT